TGTTGGAGCATTATCAACTAATAATATAATATTCCTATTTTCATCTTGCATTTTTTTATTTAATTTTTTGAGATAATCATTCCATATAGAAATTTGCATCCAAGCTGTGTTATTCCAATAATAATTTACTGGTAATGTGTCTTTTTTTATTCTTCTCAATGGCCTTGGGTTTTGGTATTTGTGTATAAATAAGGGAATTAATTTTTCTGTGCCAGTTGAGTTACATGTTAAAAGAACTGTAACTCTATCCTTGTTTTTTTTGGTTCCTGGAAGTGGTCCAGTTGATAGCCCACAATTAGGTTCCATTTTTCAGAACAAACCAGTCTCATCACAGTTGAAGATATCCTCCCACCTATACTGTTGAAGGACTTCTCTTAAATTTTGTCTCATTTGTGGAATCTCACTTATTGGAGCACTTTGGGCTTCTCCATGTTTATTAAATGCCTGAATTGAGAATCTATGTTTAAAATTTTCAAGCCATCCTTGAGATGCTTTAAAATTATGGTGATTTAACAAATCAGCAAAATCTAGGGCTTTTTGTTGAATTATGGTGCCTGTAATTGTCAAATTACATTCAAGAGCTTTTTCAATCCACAAGATTAATGCCTCTTCAATATTTATTAAAGGTGAGGGACGTAATTTTTTTAATGTTGCTTGATATGAATTTGGATCAACTTGAAGCCATTTGTTAGAACTTCTTATGATGTCACTAACTTGACTTGTACTGATTCCAAATTCTGTAGCCAAATCAACATTTTTTTTATTTGGTTCTCGTTGTTTTATTGAACAAATTTCAAATTTTTGTGCAGCAGTAAGGTGGATGCGTTTTTTTTGTTCTTGTTGAGACATTAGAAATTTTTTACTAATTTTATATTGTGTGTGTATGGTTTTTATTATTAAATTTGGACAGACGGGATTTTTATTATTATTATAATTGTTTTGTGTACAGATGGGATTTTTATTATTATTATTATAATTTGTTTCGTGTACAGACGGGATTTTTATTATTATTTTGTTTCGTGTATAGACGGACGGAATTTTTATTATTATTATAATAATAATTTTGTTTTGTGTACGGACAGACGAATTTTATTTCAAAAAGAAAATTTAAAGCTTTATTTATATCCTCAAAACTTCAATATCAATGAAAAACAATTTGACGTTTTTAAAATAAACTAACCATTCAGTTCAAAGAAAACACTTTTCCATTTCTCTATTTTGTCAATTAAATCAATGGCATCAATTTACTTGATAAAGTGTTTAATAAATCATTGTTAAAAGCAATATCTACATTTCCATCAACCATTAGTAATAGGACAATTATTTTATTTTATTTATTATCATTACAATTGAAACCTTTAAAGAGTATCTTGGATAGAAGCTATAAAATAAAGTATGGCGAATGAGCAATTGCAGATGAATGTCTTGTAATAGTAAACAAAAGATGAATGTATTCTTTGTAAAGAAATAGTAAAAAAGATCAAACAATGAATATATTGTAAAAAAGGAAAAGATCAAACAATTAATATATTGTAGAAAAGGGAAAATGAATGTATTGTGAAAATACAAACTTGAACATTTTTAGTATAGATGATCTGTGCTCATCAAAAAATCCGGTATAACGCGACTAGTAATATATATAAAAATTTTCAATAAATGTCCGTTATACAGAATAACAAGGTTTATTATATAAATCCGTTATAACAAAATTTTTTATTTAATAAAAAAAAATAGAAATAAAGTTTTGTCCGGTATAACAAAAATCCGTTATAACGAGGTCCGTTATAACGAGGTTTGACTGTATTCTATTCATGTTGTATGACAGTTTGGAATAATTTTGCTGCATCTGAACCGTTTGTGAGAGTGTTACACAGAAACACTCAACCGGCCTTTGTGAGCAATCTACCCCAAAAACAAGTGTTTTGCCAATATCATTTTTATCACCACCAAAAGACAAGAAATGCCTGTTTTGTTAACAATAATCTTATTACATGCTTGTTAATGATATGGAGACCATGGTGGTGTATTAGAAGCACCAGATGAAGCTCTTAATGATGAAGATTTAGACAAAGTTAGCCTTCTAACCGTATTGTTCGTGCATTCCATGTTGCAGAGCTGGAATTTTAAATACTATCAAGAAGTTCAACGGAATGAAGATTTATCAGTCCTTAGTACTGGCAACATTTTAGGGTTTGTTGGGTCCTCAAATCATATGTTTTTGATTCTGACCAACATGTTAACTTGGAGGAGAACTAACATCTAAAGATGAAAAATACCTCCAACTCGATAAAAATGTCAATAAGTGAAAATTTAATTTTGAGCATTGATGATATCAATCAAATAATCACTATAAACGATCAAATTGAATCAACTGGAGTGAATTATGTAAGGAATATGATTGAAGTAATAAGAAATAATGCAGTGTTGTGCCATTTATGGTTCCAATAAAATTTCATTGGAGCATTCTAATAAATTCCAATTGGAATTGGAACATTCCAAATGTGGTTCCAATGAAGTTAACCAATGAAATTCAATTATAGTGTCATACACACGAATTTTATTGGTTAATATCAATTGAAGATCTACATTGGAACATTCCAATAGCGTTACAATATTCCAATTGCACAACACTGAAATAATGTAATACAAAAATAAACATTGATTTTTTTGTTTTTAGAAATTTAATGAAGTCGATATGCTTATCTGAATAATATATAATTATTGGAAATTTACAGCATAATTTTGGTTTTACAGAAAGCTACAATATGGACTAGTATAAAGTCAAGTAGTGTGAAAATGTTAATGTGCAATTGGCAGAGCATCCTTATGCAGGATTTGTACATGGGAACATGTATGCATGTAATATTTTAGGATTAGACCACAATGGAGTTCACACTAAGATAGTTAGCCTTGACTGGGCAGGTTGTGAAACGGCTATAAAGATATAAGTCAAATACCACTACGAATGCTACAACATTAACAACGCCATCTTCTTCTTCTAGTAGTGAGTATTAATTCATTCAAACATCCAGCTACACCATCAAAATATTCGGACCACTGAGACTCCCACTTTGCAAGATCTCGCGGATATAATCGTGACGTTACCTGCTGAAGAGGATTGCTTCTGTTCCATTTACAATAAAATTTATGTCTCATTTAAATGGTCATAAATTCCCAATCAAAAATTTAAAAAAAAAAGAAGAAAGTTTCAACTGTTACAATTCGTCGAACCCTTAAAAAAGTTGGTTTACGTTCATGTGTTGCT